CCCACGGGCCACTTGAATGCGCTTACCCTCGGTCGACGTAGTTGTAGCACCCACACGCAACCCTATGCAGCATACCAATTGGAAGCTACGTAAACTTGCTCCAAAATCATGAAAACAGCTGTCGTGACTGTCTCACTATCTCTCCAGCGTAACTGGATGCAGTCAGCATCAGCACTCCTTATGTCAGTTTTCACTGTTGCCTGACGCAGCAATGCAAGAGTCTGTACACAATACACAGGTACACAGGTACACCTACAGAGGTACGCCCTTAAAAGTGCGACAAAACCACCTATAGCATGGGGTTACAGATTTCTTGTGGGACCCCCTCTAGGTGGCTGTGTATAATAATAAAAACCTACTTGCATCTTCACAGTAGCCCGCATTTGCACTATTTTTCCACATTTTTCGTTGCTCGACAATAACTGTCCTGTGTAAAGGAAGCAGCACACCTAAGCCAATAAAGTCCCTTGGAGACGAACAAAGGTAAAGCTATGGCCAACGAACTGCGTATCCTTAGACTGTAACTGTCAAGTATTATTTTGTTACAATGAGTCAAAATGCGACTCATCAGAATACGTTTCAGTTGATATTAAATGATTTAAGCTCATATTTTCAAGTGCTAATATAGATGTCCGGAATCTCTTTTTGCTTGTGATTAAAAATATTTTATGGGACAACGTATAAAAAACTATATCTTTTTGATTATACTAAGCAGAACATCCTGCCTTTTTTTCAAAATACAAGATAAAACATGCAGATTGATTTTTTAGCAAACGATAATACATATTAGAAAAATCTACAGATATAAATCACCAACATTCCTTAATACAATAAAATAAAATAAGAACGTATTGAAGTTCTACGAATTTTCTTCCTTGCCTATCCTATTTCCGCACCCCAAAACCCCTATTACCACCGTTTCCCTAGGACAAAATGCTGGCACTAGGGGTACATAAGGTGCATTTCTTAAACTACCTTTGCCTTACAAACTTTGTGGGACTCAGATTCAGCTGGAAAAGCAGAATAAAAAAATAAAAGGAACTCTAATCTAATACTTTAGATTTCGGTCACGACATACCCTCTCTAGGAGGGAATCTGATGCGTTAATTTTAAAACCTTCCATTGTCTTATCTAAACCCTTAATTATCTTTGTTCCCATTGAAAGTAATGTGGAAGCAGGAAAACCTAAAGTTAGTTGCAAACGCCAATCTTAGTGCTTTGCGTCATGAACTTGTCTTTCCTGTACTGTAATCAAACAGAAGCCTGGGGCGCACAAAGCTCCTTGAAACCTATACAAGCAAACATCCGAGTCCCAGGAAGTAACTAAGAAGAAGATGACTCGATGGCTTGGACAATGCTTTTATTCGCCTGACGTTAGGACATTGCCCGTTTCTGCAACTGTTTTA